CGAATCGATGGTTTGTTTAATATCTGAATCCACCTTTATTTCCAAATTTACCCCGTTTTCTCCACCCCACCCCACTCAAGTTTCTTGTGCTGTGCTCACTCGTCTTGCACTCGGTGGGGCTTGGCTTGTGAATTTGAACGAAAAAGGTGAGTTAATCGGGAAGGGGTCACGAACTGGTTTCATAATTGACATAATAAGTAAGCGTTTTCTGCCACCACATTCCTATAGAAGTACAGCATCATCGGATATCAAATTGTGGTTTACATTATTTACATATACGTGTTTTGATCATCCATTGTTCAAGTAGTGAAGTACACCTCAAACTATGGAATGTATGCAGAATATTAGAAAGTATATTTGTGCAAACCTGAATATCCATCTGACTGGCATCTGTTTAAAAAAGAATTAGTGATCATATGCAGTTTTCCCGGTAATATAAGTGATTTATCGATTTGTGATATTCATTTAATGCAGATTGTTAGTTCGGGGTGATTATATTCCGCTTTGATCCAATGCCACTGGATTGAGTGTTTTCGTATTTTCTGTGTAGAGCTGTGATTTTGAATAATATTGCCTCGTAGATTCTGTTTTCGGGGTATAAGTTTGGCAAAAATATACACATGTCAAGCCTCGAACCCCCAGGCAGACATGATTACAAAACCATTAGGGTACTATACATTTCAAACCCACTTGTCTCTCAATTTAAAGTTCCTGTTAATAAACCCACGAGCCTTAAAGGGAATGGGCTGTTACAATTGACGTTCGAGCTGTCGACCACAGTGCGAACACACGCTTTCATCGTGAACTCGTGTAATGATATAATTGTGTGTAACCAGTCGATTATTGAAATCAAAGCATACAGAGTAACGCTTGTTTATATCTTGTCTGAGTTCCACCCCCTCGAGAATTTATGAATTTGCCACGTATTGGCCACCACGTTGCAGAACATACGGATACTACTACTGCTACTAACAATAATATCAAAAGGTGATTGCGGCATTTCCTAAACCTGCTAGCAAGCGGTCAAAAACCCAACGCAAATTGAATCGTAGTTCAGTTGACGAGATAGAATGGAGTCAGGACTTCCATGCAGGTTACGGACTGATTCGCCAACGAATCCCAGAAGGCCGGATTGATAATTCACATTTAACTCACAGTTACTCATGAGTAGTGGTGTGGGATAATTGATATGGATTGATTTGAACTGACTATCCTTCGGAGTTCACCTTCACGCACAATCCTTAGTTCATCGGGCCAACCATACACTCGGAAGTAATATACTCAAGTTTCGCCATTATTGGAGTTCATCAGTAGTGCATATCCTCCGTCTCGTCTGGGATTTGAACTTCGGACCCTGAAGACAACATCTAAACAAACATGAATTGGCAGCTTGGTTTAGTCATGGTATGAGCTAGTAGGCGCAGTGGCAACTCCCACGTCTTCCATGCCATGGGTCCGGAGTTCAAATCCCGGATGGGATGATAGATGTACACTACTGAAGAGGTTTATTAGGAGCGAAACTCGAGTCTAATGCTTCCGAGTGTATGGTTGAATCGATGAACTGAGGATTGTGCGTGAAGATGAAGTCACAATGAAGTCAGTTGTAATCACGTGTGAGTGCACAAGAATATGCCAATTGATTTACTAAACCGGAAACACATTGTTGAGTAGAAGTTTCATCTGTGATTCATGTGGTAGCGATAATACGGTTAAGTTAGTCAAACCGCACGGAATTTGAAGATTAGTTCTGTTCCATCAATTTAATTAATCGACTTACATCTTAGTCAGAATAGTCGTATTATTAACCATGTAGAAAGCCAGAAATCCACCCTCATAGAAGCATGAAGCTTATTAGGGATTGACTCAAAAGTGCACCTTTCAAACACAGCCACCGTTTGTTCAAGATGTAGTCCGGACTTATAAGGTCTTCTTCTACCTTCATGGCGGGATTAACAGAACTATTCAAGGTTAGTGGGCGAAACCCCCTAAATGCCTGCCTCTTTTGGGATGTATAACAAGATGTTGCTGAGTCCATATCCCTCGGACGACATCATAATTTGAATGAGTCTCAAAGTTGAATACTACGTTGATAATCGAGTGTATTCCAGTATTTGCGTCCAGTTCAAAGGCAGACCAATTATTTCTAGCTGTCTAATGCAAATACGTATTATTCTGGGGCTGGAAAAACTTGCTACTGAAAACAGTTTCCGTAAAAAAGGATTGGCATGGGAAAACCTGAACCTGAGCTGCTGATAAATCGAAATTCGATCCCGTTAGGTTCTTTTATGAAACCGACTTGAGTCTGTTGTTTACATTCATCATCCATTTTCCTAAAACAATCTATAAGAAGACATCACATGAGTCTAATAAAATCAACGGACAGATGTGTTGAGAGTGAAGGACGGTGCTGTCAACTTTTACTTTGGCCGCTAAGGAGTAATGGAGGGTAAAAAACACTAAGCTGTCGGGTTTACCCAACATGACGAGCGGCAAAAACAGCGACATTGGTTGTGTGGTTCCCTTGAAATTTTATTTATTCATTCACATACTGCTTAATGTGGTATTTATATACCACGGTAAAATATGGAATTTGATTCACCAAATGCCATCAATCTCCGATTGAGTCGCATCCTTCCGGAATTTGAAAAATTCAGGGAAACTGCAACATTACACCTAGTCAGCAGTACATCCAATTAAATAGTGAGAAATATCGATTGCAATATATGTGAGGAAATAAACCGAGACGATGTAAACTACTTCACCTTCATTGTTTTTTTTACGGGCTGTTTAATCAAAACAAAATTTAGGTTTAATCTCTCACTTGGTCTTTGTGTATCGAAATATTTAAATCTGTATGTCAACTCCTCGGACAGTGGTGGTGGAGTGCTGTGCGACACTGAATTATGAACCCGGAGTAAAAGCATGCGTTTGCCCTCCCCCCACCGACAACCATCATCTGACTATCCCTTTTGATCGATCACCTCTCACTTCCTGATAATTCCTTCATTATGTATTCAAAAAAGGAAGGGCAAATGCATTCTGAAAGCTGCACTCGGCATTCAGCCCACATTTTAGTTTCAAGTATCTATCTATCCCGAGATCACATGCCTTTTCTTCGGAAACATTTCCGGTTCAATTAGCAAATTACAATTCGAAATATGGTCTCAATCAAAAGTACTGTCAGGGAGATCAAAAGAGTGGCTAGAAAAATAGACTAAATCTTATATACGTGATTCGACGCTGAATTCGCTGGTGAACTCACCTTGGAAAGAGATCCCGTTTACCTAGTACATTGACTTCGTTTCCATATTCCAAGCTCTCATTATTTGTCAAGCAATCTGTTCGTGTTATTTTTGGCGAAAACGTGTGCCATAGTGTCTCTAGGCAATCGCTATTTTCTTTCGTTTTTGTCGTTAACGTTTCATACGGAAACCGGTCGATGCGTTAATTAGGGTCAACGTTAGACGGCAACAGTACTCGCACTGACTGATTAAGCTTAACACGTGATGTGATCTAACCTGGTTCATGATGTAGAAGTGCATCACTCAAACATAGTATTTGTTAGGTTAACCTTTGCTGAGTGACCTGTACAGTGATCAATACATAACCGGGACAACTACAATTACCGTTCACTCATTTGTACAGGCACGCCAGTATGACCTCGATTATTGATCGATTGGAACTCTAACATCTATAATTCAGCAGCCCCGTTTGCTAGCGAGGTCAACCGTAATTATCGTTCACACGCTTACGTATCTACGTGAGTGGAACAAATTCGATCCGCTGAATTTCGCTGCCACCAGCGAGAGTCATCAGACGGTGGTAAAAAAAGTCCGGCTTCGGTAAAAACAAACAAATGTAGTTATCAAAGTGAAACAAAACAGTTAGTTTACGCTGAATTGTTTTTCTCAGAAGCCTCAAACTAGGTGACACCATGGGGGACGAAAATTCCCGCGGTTATGTATCATCTCAAAAAACGAATTCAATGTTGTGTTAGTGAATTTCGTGTTGGTAAAATATAGGACGTAATGAAAATAATAATCGAGATCTTCGAATTCCCAATAAACCAATTAGGCCCACTTCGAATCCTAGTTCATCATGTAAATCTAGGTATAACCTGTCGTGAAACGATATATATTTGAGTAATTAGAATTTAAAATTAAAAATTAAAAAGGATCATAACCATAGACGAACCTGCAGTGAGTCGAATCTCCGAGATGACGCTAGCCAAGTGATTAAGCGTTGTAGTTTCCAGCTATTTCGCCATGAAGCAACAGTAGCGGTCAGCCAATAGCTAGACAGTTCAAACGCAAGCCGTGTGACTACGTATTATTGCTCCCATCGAATTATCTCAATAGGTGAAACGCTACTTCTGTGGCATTTTTCCTGCTTCCCGGTGACGGGAGATTTCAGCGCAAATTTCCTAGTACATTCCTGTACTTCAGTTGTGACCTTCATTCTGTCATACACGTATGCCCCTGGTTAAGAAGAATACAAGTCATATATCGTGTCAACACCGGTTACAGGGCCAATGGGTGCAATATAAATCAATAATCATTCATGATTATCCGTATCCGTAAGGTTGACAACGAAGTCGATCAGTCACATTGTAACGATAAGGCGAGTTGGCTGGCAAAACGTTTATTGAACCAATTCAAAAACAACCGGTGTATGCGTTCGATTATATACTATCAATTCTCAACCGCGTGGCAGGATGATTCATGCCTCATTCTGTTGGTCCATTCCTGTTGGCTTTGGTCCGCACTTGACACGTATCTTGCTTCTTCTTCCGCGTGCCGTTCCGACTGGTTTGATCCGATAGTAGCGTGAGCTACGTTGATCGACAGGCCCGACGTTGTGGTTTTCGGTGGATATCTTCCTGGCTAGCTCCTGGTGTGCTTGCGATCCCACGAGCAATTTACCTCCCACGAAACCAATCTTCGCACCCACACGCCTCAGCAGATCGACACCGATTATAATCTCACTTACACCTCCGATCAAGAACATCTCATGGGTAACCGTCACCCCGCCAATCTGCACACTGACACATTGTTTACTCAAGACACTGAGTGGCATATCCCCAACCGCACCTACGCTCAGATAGCACGGTTTCACCGGAACCCACTCCACCCGAGGCATAATGGAAATCCCGGCACCCGTAGCAATCACAACCATCGTTGACCGTCCCAAAATGAAAATCGCAAGCCTTGGAACCCCACGGGCAGTCGGATTAGAAAGAGAAAAACACGGACGAATGCGGTAGGTTTGGACAAAAACGAGCAAAATTCCCTGTACCGTGGCAAATGAAACACTGTTTTGGTCGAGCTTAAGCCCAGAAACGTCTCCTTTCTTCTGATCCTCCCTTGAGTTCTTCCTTCGGTCTTCTGATTTCTTCAAATATTTCTTCAATATTATCTTGAGTTTCGGCAGGATCCACCCGATCAACCACGTCATCTCGTTGACAGGCTTGCGCAATCGAAATTAGGCGGTCTGCATCGTTCAACCTGAACGCCACCGCAGTTCTCAGTTTGTCTCTCATCTGTGCCGTCATGCTTTGTATGAACCAGTCTTTGACCAGCCTCTCCCGTGTTTCATTGTTTGCCTCCGGCAGGCCCAGAAAAATTTGTCGCTTTATGTATTGGTAATATACCAACGGTTCGGTTGTACTCCGCAGCCTAAAACCGGTTCATTGCCTTTTCCCGTTTTCCCTATCTTTTTGGTTGCAAATAGTGTCGCACTTGGACGACAATCAGCTCAACTGTCCAACTTCTTTAATATAAGTTAGTTTATGATAATTCTTCCATGATGTTTTCACTGTGTAAACAAAATACTCTAAATGCTGAAGTTGTTAGTATTAATGCACACAATGAATTNGTTTCATTGTTTGCCTCCGGCAGGCCCAGAAAAATTTGTCGCTTTATGTATTGGTAATGTACCAACGGGTCCTCAGTTCGGTTGTACTCCGCAGCGTAAAACCGGTTCATTATCGTTTCGCGGTCGCCCTCCTTTGAAAACTCCACCACCAGTTGGTCTTTTAAATTCTCATAATTCTGACCTTGTTTGCTCGCCAAATCATAGTCGTGAGCGGCCCTCACTCGTCCGAAAGGCAGTGCGTCCAACGCTGTGACCAGTTGCGCATTCCCTTAGATGCGATCAATCCAAAATCACGAATCCACTTCTCCTCATCTCCGATCGTATTGCGAGATACGTTAATCGGCAGTTACGGCGTTGTGGTATTCGGTGGATATCTTCCTGGCTAGTTGTGGATTGTCTGTCAGGCTGTAATTGTCGATTCATTCGTTTCCGGTGTTAGTCGACATTTTCTCGCCAAGTACTTCCAGGCGCTAGGCCAGCGCACCTGGTTGGATCGGCCCTATACTTGATTCGTTCGCTAGTCGGGACTCTCTTTGTACTTCCTTTCATCACGTCATCATCCAATGCGAGAGAGCTGTGGCATGACCGGAGATTTCACCACAGATTCATTATCCATAATACGTAGGCAATTTGATGAATACATTTGATTATGATATTGGATCCAGGAATGTGACCCAATTTTCATGTCAATAGATGGGCGTAATAAATAAAAATGATACGCGGCCAGTTGGTAGTTGGGAGCTGTTTTCGAAGTAACGATTGGACTTTGTGGTGCCTCTTGGTAGTTCGTATATACATGTGTTGACCAAACTCTTGCAACATCACCCTCATTTTGAAAATCCATTTTAGCTTGCAATATCGTAGTTATATATATAGATGGCTATGAGTAAACTGTATTTATTCCCGACTTTATCTGCAACATCTGTGTTCTTTGTTTATTGTTATCACCATTTGAATTTGCGCGATCTTGAGTGTCGCTATAAAATTTGCAGTAGTTCGAAAGTTACAGCTCTGATTTTGAAAATATTTTGGGCAAAGCAGCATGGGAGCTTATCCTTTTTAACAGATGATTCCTGTTCTATAAGAGTTTCTATTAAGTTGAGCACACGTACTCTAAATTTCTATTCTCTTTTCATTCAGTGCACAGTAAATAAGCAAATCATTGAAAATATTCTAACCTAAATAAATTGCTAAATTGTTAGGCTACCAACTACTCACGCAATATCTCCAATACTGGAAGAACTGAAAACATAGCCCAAGAAAGACAAATTGATCTTC